TAGTATCCAATTATGCAGACTTTACATATTAAAAAAGGTGTCTGCTTACCTTATTTTCTTTGTCCGGACTGTTCGAGAGGTTGACCAACATCTTTTCCGCGTCGAAAAATTCAATTTAAACACAAAACAGAGAAAGTGAGGGAGCAATAGCAAGCCCATCCAAAAGCGAGCCCTTTCAGTGTCCGCTGGGATTTCTCCCCTTCCAGATAACGTGCTGTTGCTCCCACACGCCGAAAAAAAGAAAAAAGGAAACTCCCTCAAAACAATCCAGAGAATGGCGCACACTGAGCCGCGCATTCTCCACCAAATCTGTCAGGGATGAAGCAGACAGAGACGGATCGTGGTGCGCCAAACTCTGGAAGTTTATTTAAGTTTCTCTCAAGTTCCAGTGGTTTCAATTGTTTCTTTCTCTCAGACAGAATAAAGTCAGTACACAGTTTATATAGTCATTGTCACGTCACACATCGAAAGACGTACGCGTCACGCAGAGACAGTCACATCATAGTCAAAATAATCAGAGTCCTTGTAGAGTCCTGCACGTAGGCCATATTGCTATCTAATACTAACACGTCATTTCGGCCACTTTTGAGCTGGGACCCTCCCCCACTGGTTGTGACATATGTTGTAGCCATTGTATTTGAATGCGTAGTGGGGGTCTGTATAGAAGCACAGTGATCAGAGACACTGAGCCGTTTTGGGTTAACAACAGCTGGTTTTAAGATGACACGCTTCACCTCAGAGTGCTGTTGTTTCATCAGGTCAAAATGAGCTGAATTGTTTCATCTCATCTTCCTCCACATGGGGTTAATGCATGCAGTGATTTATTACAGGCTATTCTAAAAGCGGACCTTACCTCTAAGAATAAAAAAACAACTTGAACGGTTACAGGATCCAGCATGTCTGTATTTTAGTCCACTTTATCCAGGATTGTGTCATAGAGGCAGTGGTCTAAGCGTCTCCTTAGTTAGAGTGGCACATATGGGTACCTATTTTCAACCATATCAAGGACATTAATTTTGACCAAAAGTATTCACCATGGAGCTGCAAACTGGGCAGAGCTTGAAGGTACAGTATACCTCTGAAATGGACATTCAGTATAACACATATCTCTAATATAATTGTTGTTTGTACCAGTTTCCATATCTGTGTTGGTTCGTCTTGTAATGATGCACATTGTTGAAAAAGAGGCGTAGAACTCAATGCTAAAAAAAACTTCCGGGGCGAACTCCGCCTCTGCCTTTCAGTCGAAAAAGAACAACGTACAAAACCAGTAGTCTCGAAGGAAGAGATGATTTGCCCCAAAGATGTCAACATTTTTGGGGCAGATCAAAGTGTACAATTTTTTAAAAATACATTGGACAATGTGTAGATATAATGTGTTACTGTGAAAGGAAATATGGGAGAGATGGCCCAAAATCCCCCATGTAAAAGGACTTTATTGCACCAGTTCCAATAGTCTACAGTTTCATATAGGGTGACATAAATATCGGCATAAATGTGTTAAATCCTGGAGCGGTTGACTTTCTGACTCATTGTTTCTCAAAGCCTGTGGCAGTTCAACTTTCAGTGTATGGCAGCTCGCTTCATAGCCGTAGAGCAGGGACCTCAGCCTGTTCACGGCTGAAACCAGGGCAGAAGAGGCAGAGAAACAGCTGCGAAATGGAACGCCTTCGGATGTTATTGTGCCACCTTCTCATCTTACATTAGGCCGCAGCTCATCATTGGCACAATGGTTCCAATGCCCAGGGGCACACGAAGCAACACAGCCAGCGCTCGAGGCTGGAGGAAAAACATGCAGCTGTAATCGTCAAATTACACTTATGGCGAGTTCACTGCATTGTTCCATAAGCAAATTAAATCAATTATCACTGCACTCAGTTATAGTGGCTTAAAGCTTCATTCAATTCAATGTATTTTTGTATAGACCTAAATAAAACAGCAGTCGTCGACTCAAACATATGGGAGCCATCGTCACTATCTTTAGACCCTCCTGCAATGGCAAGGAACAACATCTATACTGGACCATGACCAGACACTCTGGAGAGTAGGTTCAGTGACAGACTTATCCACCCACTTTGTATGAAGGAGAGGTTCTGCAGGTCTTTCCTTACTGCTGCTGTCAGACTGTACAATGACAACTGCTGAGCCTGTACAGGTCATCTCATCTGTATAGTAATACTGCAATGATATTCACTTTCAGATGGTCTTATTATCCTGCCTGTATGTATATAACTTTGAATAACTTATAACAAATTGCGATTTGTGCTGCGAATAAAGGTTCTCTTATCTTTTCAACTCAAGAACAAAGTGGGAAAAATGAATCCAACGAGAAAAAAGCCGTGAAAGTGGAATACAAAGTAAAAAAATAGAACCAGTAGTAGTATTCACTGCTCATCAGTAAATGGTTGATTTTCACAGTGGACACTTTTCACTCCTGACTGTGAAAGAGCACACTACGCAATATCTAGTAAAAAAAAAAAAACCTAATTCCACAACACATCAGCAATATTAGGAGGACGCCTGAAGGCCAATAGCAAAAGCTCGGAGGGCAGCAATTTTCCCGGGGGTCATACTGGACAGGCAGACACGCAGCATCAGAAAGGCACTTCATATTTCTCCTTGTCTCCAGTTTACAACATCAACCAGTGGATTTGTCAATATGATTTTTTGAGCTGTAAAAACACGGAAACTTGGGGGAATATTCCTGGCAATGCAATAAGAAACACAGTACTTATTTTATTGGTGCGATCTATAATTTTGAAGCCAGGCTCATCCAGACGTGTGCCAGAGCTGCCTGTCATGCCAAAGGTTAATAAGACCTCAGTAGATGAGATGTTTGTAAAATTCCTAAACAGATGCATGATTTTAAGAGATTCAGTGGAGTGAGAAGAGACGTGCGTTTAAGTCTTTGATGTGCCAACGTCGGATCAACTGTTTTACATTTTACTGACTGTCTTTTATAATAAACATCTGCTTTTCACTTAATTGTTGTTTGTCTTAAACTATATGTTGATTCGCTACAACAAAACTTTTGAAGTTGTTCTAACAAATCCCTGTGAAACATAATCAGCATTGTTTTAATGTGCTCAACGAAGGGGTAACATTCAGCGCATTTCCAACCTAAATACAACTAACAAAAAAAACAAATAGAACTCAATAAGTGTAAAAGAAAAATGTTAGTTGTTTAAATATGGCATACTCATGGTTTGGGTGGATGCTAAAATGCCCAGGAATCTTCTGTAAAAGAGGGTAAACAATGAGATAATGCTACTGTGATTTAAAACTAAAATAGTGATGGCATCAACAGTTTATTATTAATATTATTATTTTAACCAGGATAATTCTAATTAGATTCACAGATCTCTTTACTAAGGAAATCCTGGTCAAGAGGCAATTTCATTTCCGCATGGCGCCGTGGTAAGAGCTCTGCTGTGTGCTGTCTGGTGCACACTGGGGTCGTCTTGCACAGTTTTTCCATTGTAGTTTTACTGCAAATGGCAAATAAAGTCGTCTTGAATTAATTATTGTTTTCAGGTTTTTCAGGTTCAACAATTATAAATTATATTGTATAATATCATTACTGGGGTTCACAACACAACCCTCAAAAACATTGATATCAACATCTTTACATTCAGGTATACACAAACATACAAGAAATAATATGTTTATGAACGTCTTGAAGGGTTGAGTTAAAAACCAACAGTACATTTATAGCCATGTGTTTAAAATGTTGGTAGTGTAAACTTGTCCCTAATGTATACATTAATAAATACATAAAAACATAATGGGTGTAATGGATTTTTTCAATTTGCCAACAGGCGATCAGAAAACACAATATTCATAGGTTATGAATTAACGTGAAGAACCTGGACAAGAACATTGTATTTAATCATTTTATTTGTGGTGCCGAGGACAGAAACAAAACGGGACAATAATTAGTGCATAAATATAATGTATTAATTGTAAATGTATTATTACTGTATATGCTGAAATGTTGTTTATCTGAAAGAGGGGTTGGCTTCTGGAATGGATGCACAGAAGAACTGAAATCGTGTAATTCACTTTTCAACTTAAAAAAGAAGTTTAAAACTATACTTTTTGGATGGCTACATTAACTCAGAATCCTAATGTTTATAGGATTGCTTCTCTATATTCTTATGTTTTAGTTTTTAGTTCACTTACACGAAACACAAAATAAGCATTAGCCTCAGCCTACGCCTTTTCAGTCTTTCTGCTGTAAAGTTACTGCTCTGTAATGGTGCATATAAATGTGCACGTGACTGAAATAAAACTATCATTCATCTAAATGTATTTATTTTACAAGTGCTGAACTTTATTAAATAAGCAAAGCATGGTCAAAATCTCAATCGTCAATGTGTTTTCAAACAGAAATGAGGCAGAATCAGAATGTGGCCTCTGCCCGAAGTGAGTGTCCATGTTAAACTCCTCTTCTTCAGCCTCAAGTCCGTACAAGCCGCAGAATTTGCCCTGTGCTTCTGAACCACATGCTCGCGGGTTCAAATCCGAGTCAATAGCAAATATGTCAGCAGCGAAGCCAAAGGGCAGAGAGGAAAAACAACAGCTCTGACATCACAATAACACAGTGACCCAGTATTCAGAATGGATACGCCGTCAATAAAGCGGGTTCGTGGTACGTTTTATAGGATCACAGGTTGAATATGTTGACTGAGTAAAGTATGGAGGTCTTCTTTGTGGATGAGGGTCAAGCAGATTGTAGCTGAGTGGTTGTCATTAAGTGCATTTTTTGAATTATGTGGTTTTAACTTATTGCCCTGCATAAAATAGACCTTTGTGGAATATTTGTTTTCTTCATTTTGACTTATTTACTATAGTTTATTTTTGGTGTGTGTACCCTGTGCTTTTGCTGGTCTATTGTTTTTGTCTCTTCTCTTCTTTGCCTGATTCTCTGATCTATTGTGGGTGAAGTCTAAGATGGCTGCCTGGGTCAACAACCTGGTCAACAATTAAATAAAAATATATTACCCCACACTGCACCACACCACACTGCACCACACCGCACCACACCACACTGCACCACACCACACCGCACCACACCACACCACACCACACCGCACCACACCACACCACACCGCACCACACCACACCACACCGCACCACACTGCACCACACCACACTGCACCACACCACACCGCACCACACCACACTGCACCACACCACACCACACTGCACCACACCGCACCACACCACACCGCACCACACTGCACCACACCACACCACACCGCACCACACTGCACCACACTGCACCACACCACACTGCACCACACACACCGCACCACACCGCACCACACCACACTGCACCACACCGCACCACACTGCACCACACCGCACCACACTGCACCAAACCACACAACACTGCACCACACCACACAACACTGCACCACACTGCACCACACCGCACCACACTGCACCACACTGCACCACACCACACTGCACCACACCACACTGCACCACACCGCACCACACCACACCACACTGCACCACACCACACCACACTGCACCACACCGCACCACACTGCACCACACTGCACCACACCACACTGCACCACACCACACCACCACACTGCACGACACACCGCACCACACCACACCACACTGCACCACACCACACCACACTGCACCACACCGCACCACACTGCACCACACCACACTGCACCACACCGCACCACACCACACTGCACCACACCACACCACACTGCGCCACACCACACCACACCACACTGCACCACACCGCACCACACCACACCACACCGCACCACACTGCACCACACCACACCACACTGCACCACACCACACTGCACCACACCACACCACACCGCACCACACTGCACAACACCACACCACACCACACCGCACCGCACCACACCACACCGCACCACACCACACCACACCGCACCACACTGCACCAAACCACACCACACTGCACCACACCACACCACACTGCACCACACCACACCGCACCACACCACACCGCACCACACCACACTGCACCACACCACACCGCACCACACCACACAGCACCACACCACACCACACCACACTGCACCACACCACACCGCACCACACCACACTGCACCACACCACACTGCACCACACCGCACCGCACCACACTGCACCACACCACACTGCACCGCACCGCACCACACCGCACCACACCGCACCGCACCACACTGCACCACACCACACTGCACCACACCACACCGCACCACACCACACCAAACCACACCACACTGCACCACACTGCACCACACCACACAACACCACACCACACCGCACCACACTGCACCAAACCACACCACACTGCACCACACTGCACCACACCACACCACACTGCACCACACCACACCGCACCACACCACACTGCACCACACCACACCACACTGCACCACACCGCACCACACCACACTGCACCACACCACACCGCACCACACCACACTGCACCACACCACACTGCACCACACCGCACCGCACCACACCGCACCACACCACACCACACCGCACCACACTGCACCAAACCACACCACACTGCACCACACTGCACCACACCACACCGCACTGCACCACACCACACCACACTGCACCACACCACACCACACCGCACAGCACCACACAGCACCACACTGCACCACACCACACCGCACCACACTGCACCACACCACACCACACCACACTGCACCACACTGCACCACACCACACTGCACCACACTGCACCACACCACACCACACCACACCACACTGCACCACACCACACCACACTGCACCACACCACACCACACCGCACCACACTGCACCACACCACACCGCACCACACCACACCGCACCACACCACACCGCACCACACTGCACCAAACCACACCACACTGCACCACACCACACCAAACTGCACCACACTGCACCACACCGCACCACACTGCACCACACTGCACCACACCGCACCACACCACACCACACCACACCACACCGCACCACACTGCACCACACCACACTGCACCACACTGCACCACACCACACCACACCACACCACACCACACCACACCGCACCACACCGCACCGCACCACACCACACCACACCACACTGCACCACACTGCACCACACCGCACCACACTGCACCACACCACACCACACTGCACCACACCACACCGCACCACACTGCACCACACCACACTGCACCACACCACACCACACCACACCGCACCACACCACACTGCACCACACCACACCACACTGCACCACACCACACCACACCACACTGCACCACACCACACTGCACCACACCGCACCGCACCACACCGCACCACACCACACCACACCGCACCACACTGCACCAAACCACACCACACTGCACCACACTGCACCACACCACACCGCACTGCACCACACCACACCACACCACACCACACTGCACCACACCACACCACACCGCACAGCACCACACTGCACCACACTGCACCACACCACCCCGCTCCACACTGCACCACACCACACCACACCACACTGCACCACACTGCACCACACCACACTGCACCACACTGCACCACACCACACCACACCACACTGCACCACACTGCACCACACCACACCACACCGCACCACACTGCACCACACCACACCGCACCACACCACACCGCACCACACCACACCGCACCACACTGCACCAAACCACACCACACTGCACCACACCACACCACACTGCACCACACTGCACCACACCGCACCACACTGCACCACACTGCACCACACCACACCACACTGCACCACACCACACCGCACCACACACCACACCACACTGCACCACACTGCACCACACCACACCACACCACACCACACCACACCGCACCACACCACACCGCACCACACCACACCACACCGCACCACACTGCACCACACTGCACCACACCGCACCACACTGCACCACACCACACCACACTGCACCACACCACACCGCACCACACTGCACCACACCACACCACACCGCACCACACCGCACCACACCACACCGCAATCACACTGCACCACACTGCACCACACCACACCGCACCACACTGCACCACACCACACCACAATGCACCACACCACACCGCACCACACTACACCACACTGCACCACACCACACTGCACCACACCACACCACACTGCACCACACCACACCACACTGCACCACACCACACTGCACCACACCACACCACACTGCACCACACCACACCACACCGCACCACACCACACTGCACCACACCACACCACACTGCACCACACCACACCACACTGCACCACACCACACCACACTGCTCCACACCACACCACACCACACTGCACCACACCACACTGCACCACACCACACCACACTGCACCACACCACACCGCACCACACCACACTGCACCACACCACACCACACTGCACCACACCACACCACACTGCTCCACACCACACCACACTGCACCACACTGCACCACACCACACCACACTGCACCACACCACACCGCACCACACCACACTGCACCACACCACACTGCACCACACGGCACCACACCACACTGCACCACACCACACCACACTGCACCACACCACACCACACGGCACCACACCACACCGCATTACACCACACCGCACCACACTGCACCGCACCACACTGCACCACACCACACCACACCACACTACACCACACCACACTGCACCACACCACACCACACCACACTGCACCACACCACACCACACTGCACCACACCACACCACACTGCACCACACCACACCACACCGCACCACACCACACCACACTGCACCGCACCACACTGCACCACACCACACCACACCGCACCACACTGCACCACACCGCACCACACTGCACAACACCACACCACACCACACCGCACCACACTGCACCACACCACACCGCACCACACTGCACCACACCACAACACACCACACCACACCACACCGCACCACACTGCACCACACCACACCGCACCACACTACACCACAACACACCACACTGCACCACACCGCACCACACTGCACCACACCACACTGCACCACACCACACTGCACCACACTGCACCACACCACACTGCACCACACCGCACTGCACCACACCACACTGCACCGCACCACACCACACCACACCACACTGCACCACACCACAACACACCACACCACACTGCACCACACCACACCACACTGCACCACACCACACCACACCGCACCACACTGCACCACACCACACCACACTGCACCACACTGCACCACACCACACCGCACCACACCACACTGCACCACACTGCACCACACCGCACCACACTGCACCACACCACCACACTGCACCACACTGCACCACACTGCACCACACTGCACCACACTGCACCACACCGCACCACACTGCACCACACCACACCACACCACACTGCACCACACCACACTGCACCACACCACACTGCACCACACCACACCGCACTGCACCACACCACACTGCACCACACCACACTGCACCACACCACACTGCACCACACCACACTGCACCACACCACACCACACCGCACCACACCACACCACACCACACCACACCACAACACACCACACTGCACCACACCACACTGCACCACACCACACCGCACCACACTGCACCACACCACACCGCACCACACCGCACCACACTGCACCACACCACACCACACCGCACCACACTGCACCACACTGCACCACACCGCACCACACTGCACCACACCACACCACACCGCACCACACTGCACCACACCACACCACACTGCACCACACCACACTGCACCACACCACACTGCACCACACCGCACCACACTGCACCACACCACACCGCACCACACTGCACCACACACACACCGCACCACACCACACTGCACCACACCACACCGCACCACACTGCACCACACCACACTGCACCACACCACACCACACCGCACCACACCACACCACACTGCACCACACCACAACACACCACACCACACTGCACCACACCACACCACACCACACTGCACCACACCACACCGCACCACACCACACCACACTGCACCACACCACACCGCACCACACTGCACCACACCACACTGCACCACACCACACCACACTGCACCACACCACACCCCACCACACTGCACCACACTGCACCACACCACACCGCACCACACCACACTGCACCACACCACACCCCACCACACTGCACCACACTGCACCACACCGCACCACACCACACCACACTGCACCACACCACACCACACCACACCACACTGCACCACACCACACCACACTGCACCACACCACACCACACCACACCACACCACACTGCACCACACCACACCACACTGCACCACACCACACTGCACCACACCACACCACACCACACTGCACCACACCACACCCCACCACACTGCACCACACTGCACCACACCACACCGCACCACACCACACTGCACCACACCACACCCCACCACACTGCACCACACTGCACCACACCGCACCACACCACACCACACTGCACCACACCACACCACACCACACCACACTGCACCACACCACACCACACTGCACCACACCACACCACACCACACCACACCACACTGCACCACACCACACCACACCACACTGCACCACACCACACTGCACCACACCACACCGCACCACACCACACCACACTGCACCACACCCCACCACACTGCACCACACTGCACCACACCACACCGCACCACACCACACCACACCACACCACACCACACTGCACCACACCACACTGCACCACACCACACCACACCACACCACACCACACTGCACCACACCACACCGCACCACACCACACCACACCACACTGCACCACACCACACCACACCACACCACACCACACTGCACCACACTGCACCACACTGCACCACACCACACTGCACCACACCACACCGCACCACACCACACTGCACCACACCACACCACACCGCACCGCACCACACTGCACCACACTGCACCACACCACACCAACACCGCACCACACCACACCGCACCACACAACACCACACAACACCACCGCACCACACAACACCGCACCGCACCACACCACACCGCACCACACCACATCACATCACACCGCACCACACTGCACCACACCACACCGCACCACACTGCACCACACCACACTGCACCACACCACACTGCACCACACCACACCGCACCACACCACACCACACCACAACACACCACACTGCACCACACCACACTGCACCACACCACACCGCACCACACTGCACCACACCACACCGCACCACACCGCACCACACTGCACCACACCACACCACACCGCACCACACTGCACCACACTGCACCACACCACACTGCACCACACCACACCGCACCACACTGCACCACACCACACCACACCGCACCACACTGCACCACACTGCACCACACCACACCGCACCACACCACACTGCACCACACCACACCGCACCACACTGCACCACACCGCACCACACTGCACCACACCACACCACACCGCACCACACCACACCACACCACACTGCACCACACCACACCCCACCACACTGCACCACACCACACCGCACCACACCGCAACACCACACTGCACCACACCACACCACACTGCACACAGCACCACACCACACTGCACACACACACACACACCACACACACACACACACCACACCACGCACCCACCACCACCCCACCCACCACACCCACACCCCACCACACCACACCACAACCCCACCACACCCCCCACACCACCCACCACCCACACCCCCACACCCCACACTGCCCACACCCACCCCACCACCACCCACACCCCACCACCACCCCACCACACCACCCACACACCCACACCACACCCACCACCACCACCCACCCAACCACACCACACCACACCACACCACACCACACCCCACCACACCACACCACCACACCACACCCACCACCACACCCACCCCACCACACCCCACCACAACCCACCACACCCCACCACACCACACCCCACCCACACCCACACCACACCCCACCACCCACACCCACACCACACCCACCACACCACCACCACCCACCACCCACACCACACCCACCCCACCACACCACACCCACCACACCCACACCACACCACACCACCCCACAACCACACCACACCCCACCACACCACCCACACCACACCACACCACACACCCCACACCACCACACCACACCCCACACCACCACCCACCACCCCACCACACCACCCACCACCACCCACCACACCACACCCCACACCCCACCACACCACCACCCCACCCACCACACCCACCACACCACACCCACCACACCACCCACACCACCACCCACCACACCCACAACACCACCACACCCACACCACCCCACCCACCACACCCACCCACCACACCCACCACACCACACACCCCACACCCACCACACCCCACCACACCACACCACCACCCCCACACCACCACACTCACACCGCACCCACCACACCACACTGCACCACACCACACCGCACCACACGCACCACACCGCACCACACTGCACCACACCACACCACACCGCACCACACCACACCACACCACACTGCACCACACCACACCCCACCACACTGCACCACACCACACCGCACCACACTGCACCACACTGCACCACACCACACCACACTGCACCACACCACACTGCACCACACCACACCACACCACACTGCACCACACCACACCGCACCACACCACACCACACCGCCCCGCGGGTCAAACCTCACCCTGCACATCACTTCACACACCTGCTGTCAGCCGGATTTGGGCGCAGAGGTGATATTGCTTATACTAGAAGAGAGGCACACCACCAGATGAAACTGATAAGAAATAATACTCTGAAGCTTTTTTTAACAATGCACAGTCATTCTCATCAAAGTATATTCATATAGAAAATCCATCTAGCATAACATTTCTAATATCATTATTTTATATCGGTGATCTTGCAATTCAAACGCACACCAAACAATATCTTGAGGCACACTAAAATACCACGGTACACAGATATGTGGCCAATTGTCAAACTGAAATGATATTGCTTTATATACAAATATTTTGAATAGACGACAATTTCTACACTTTGAACAGACAAGAGAAGAAGGTCTAGTTCACAGGGTAGACCAATTCACTGTCATTGTCCTTTATCCAATCTCAAGGCTAGATAGAAACTCGCCATTTATCTTTCAGACTGTTTTTGAGAAAAGACAGTTTTTGTAGAAAAGGAAGCAGCCATAGACTTGCTAGCCCAGACTCTGAAAATGGACTTTGTTGAAAGGATTACTCTCCGACAAAAACCGTCCAACATCGATTGATCCGTCCTGAGAGGTATGCTTGAATCAAATATCACCACCTCTTCACATCAGCTTTCCCAGTTCTATTCCAAGGAAAACATAGTAGCCAGAAGTGGTAACAAACAAAGCTGATTGTTTCTGTCAATAGAGAGAAGACTCCACACGCTGATGCCTTGGTGAACTCAACGGAGAACTCTACACCGCTGCACTGACAGGACCAGCATGGTTCAGATTCAGATTCAGACTACTTCTTTATAACACCGGGGACTATTCATTTGAGCAGCATGGGGCATAAAAACATATAAAACAAAAACAAACAAAATACATAGGTAATGTCAAACAATAACTCAAGCAATATGAAGTCGAGCCCGGGCCAACAGAATACAAAAAATACAGGCTCAAACTCACACTAAAGTCCGTCACAAACAAGCTACAGAGAGTCTAGAGCAGTCTGAAAGCAGTTCGGACAAGAGATTTTAAGTGACAGTTGGTTTTTCTGAATGGTACCATGTAAGAAAAAGTACCTTCCATTAAAACAGCAGTGAAAATCAAACACCTATTTCTGTAAAAACACAAGAGAGGTGAGTGCATATGCGGATCAAAATAAACATAGTACAGGGTAAACTTGAGTCAGCTGCTCTTGAGGATCCATGGGAAAATGATGTGGAAAGCAGAGGAAAAGGTTGACCACTCTCCGTCCTCAGTGAGCACAACGATAAGCCTTTGAAATGAAAGCACATACAAAAGCTCCTCTTTACTAAAAATACTGGGGATTGAAAAAGTTGAGAAAGAGGAACATTGATACAGTAAACAATGACTTTACTAAGATAAATGAATGAAATATAAAATGTAGTGATACTGCCTTGGTAGTTTTCATAGTGAGGCTAATGCGATAGGTTTTTGGCAAGCAAGCAACAATCACATGTTATTATAGACAATGAAAAAATAATCCATCAGATAGATCTCAATTTTGTGTATTTTTGTTTTGCCAACAATTAAATTAATGTTCCATATTACCGGAATTTGAAAACTCAAATTAGTCTTTCAAGAGAAGTGAAGAATTTTACATATCCAAAATGGTATGCTGTCCAGTTCGCCTTCATTTTGCATGAGATAGAACCATGTTTTAAGTGCGTTCCTGAATTTCCGAGTTCAATCTTGGAAATTCTGACCTCAATCATTTTGTGGTCATGTTGATGGCGTATTCCTATATGTTTACATAAGTGCAGGCAGCCTATATAAGAAGCCATCCTTCTCAGACTTCTGCAAGAGCTGCTTTGTAATTTGTGATGCTACACCTAAATTTCCCCGCTGTGGGACCAATAAAGGATCTACACATCTTTAAGTCTGGGTAGAATGAACCAGAGTTGTGTAATTGAAATCATTTATATTATAAAACATGTTTCCAAAGTGTTGCACAGATAAAAGTAACAGGGGACAAAGGGGATGAAAATGGATGGATGGATGGAATTAATTAAGTAAAACAGCCAAAAACCAAAATTTTTGGGAGGCAACAACAAAAAACAACCAATTCATCTTTTGGGAGGGAGTGAGTGGATTAACGAAGCGGATAATTGGGTTTGAAATTCCGTAACCATTTTGGCCTCTCTTTCACAATGACCGGCTCACAATAGTCAAACCGCACTGAAGTGTGAGTTGATTTTTTGCAATGCTTCCCTTGAGTTAGCTTTATCCGCTGCTATTTTTAAAACACATGTTTATGTGGTACGCACGTCTGAGCTGAACGTAAAGATGCTCAGTGAATTGAGGAAAATGGGTAAAACCGATGCTGCAGCGCCTCCAAATGTCCTACCAAATAATTGACGAGAGAAAGGTAAGGGGCAGAAATGGCACATTGAAAAGGTCGCTGGAGTGCCACATCCGGAGAGTGGACATGTGGCAGGCAAGGTCCTCGCTCGCTAGCCACCATCAATATTGAATGAGCAGGCTAATGGGAGCTGAAATGAAGACATGCCTTAGACAAAGCAGTGACAAAGAATACCTTGCATGTAAAAGATGAAATAATAATAATAACAATATTCATGAACATAATTATATAGTTGTAGTTTAAAAATAAGTCAATGTTTTGCAATACAGCCCCACCATTTTATTACCAATCACTAAAATGCTGTCCAGTGAGAAATAATCAGTGAACTCATCCTTCCGCTAAAAAAACAAATTTTACATGTAGATCTGTGAAGAATACTTTTATTGTATCGTATATTTGGCCCAACAATTGAAAAATAGAAAAGCAAGGAGGCCTCTAAATAGGGAATTAAACAATCCTCTGTCCAACAAGTAGATATCTCATTTAGAAAATATTCATGGTTGGTCAGAATTACAAGGTAAATCCTGATTTCACCAACCTAACATCTGTTGAAACTGATTCTGATTTGAGTAACACTGAAACACCATTATTTTGCCCCCTTGACAAATGAGGTTTAAGAAAACCATTTGTGAAGCTAAACAATTAGATATGTGACAGAAAATGGTCATAACCTTGAAAAGTGGACAATAACAAGCAAAGGGCTGTAAAAGAAAGTTGCAATGGTTCTACATAGCACCATGGCAACATTTGAAACACAGAAGGACTACCACAGTGCTTGGTCCATTAGCGTAAAGTAGTAGTAATTGTATGTTAAGAAAGTTTTTGTTAAGCCCATGAAAATCCATTATCACAATGAGGCGATGCTGAGGTAGGAACTGACAGAGCAAGAAATGGAGGTGCTTTTCTTATGCAAAGTCTGTCGCAGCGTGTGGTCCGGTGTGCAAATCGCCAATTATATTTTTTGTATGTGAAGGCCACCTCTGCTTAAACTCCACGGCTGAAATCCAGGGCTTTTTAATGCGGTGCACTTAAAGGCATTTTACCTATACTGTAAGGGGCATTTTGGAGATCAGAACCTTGCTTTTTTTCCCCCTGCTTTTAAAAAAAAGATTTAGATAGATGTTTAATAAATCTATCTAAATTTATCTATGTGAAAAGACTAAGACTCCCACAATATAGAATTAAGAGATTCTTTATTTGTCCCACAGTGAGGAAATGTCAATGTTGCATCACAAGTTACGGTGCAAATGGAATGAGGAGAACACAAGAGAAGTGAATATCAAGTATAGCACAACCATTTATTTGAAAAGATAAACATAAAATATCCAAAATGTGCATAATAATGAAGCAAAGTATGAGAAATGGTATACTATAGTGTAGGAAATCTGATCTGTCGATATATCTGAAATTAAAGTTTTGAGTTGTATATCTACTAAAACTACTGTCTCCCTGGAGTGTCATTTTGACCGCTCAATATGCTTCAATATGCTGTGCTTTGCATAGATCATAGCCACAGCTCATATAAATCACACACCGCTTCTTCTATTTAAAACTACTGTATAGCGGCTGCCTGTTGCCTAAAGCCGCGGAGAGGCGAGTTGGGTCCGTAAAAGTGTATCACGCGCTAAATAAGTATAGAAAACAAACGAAGAGGCTGGATCATAATAAACGCTGCGGTCACAGGCCCAAACACACATGCACGCACACGCATACGCCTCCCACCACACACACACACACACACACACACAGGCGCTCTCACGCACACGTTCACGCACACATTCACGCCGACAACACATGACTCCTCCATCAGCCAAACATTCATTTCTTCACACAATGCCCAAACGTGTCTTCTACAAAAACAAAGCAGGCTGATAAACGCACAGCCAGAGCTGCTGCTGCTGCAGCCGGTTTGACCACTAGTCCGTGTTACGGACGTCCGACGGACAGCAGCCAACGCGCGCCAACGGAGACGTGCCCGTTGGAGTCCAGGCCACACACTGAGTTTGCCTCGAAGTTGACCAAGCACTAAACACGGTTAACAGATGGTGTAAGTCCTACAACAGGTAGAAGAGCTGTCGAGTTATGGTCTGGTGCAGAACATGTGTTTTTTTATTGAATGAAGAACAATTGATGATTTTGTTTTTGAGTCCAAGAACCAGCACTCGACTCAAAACCAAAACCTCATCATACACTCTTACATTCACAACAGAAAGGTTAAACTAGAGATGAAAATAGTGGCCCAATTCATATGCTTGTAGTGAATTTTTCTAAAACTAAAACGTGAGAGTTTAGGTCTGCCATCTCCCTCCAATGTGGCAGGACAGAGGGTCTGTTTGGGCACATGCTCAGGACACATTGACTTGATAAATAGAATTGAGGAGAGAATGTATTGTCATCGACGGCACAGTCAATACAATACAGTTAAAGCAATTAGGATGATGAAATGCTGTGTCTTTCTCATATTTGTGGGAAAATTAGCCAAATGAAGAACTGATAAAGATACATTGCAAAGACGTACATGTACCACCAAGAATACATTTCATAAATTGCTCCCAAGTCAACAACAAAACCTGAAATATTGACTACAAGAAATTGTAAATCTGGATGTGTAGCAGTT